GACAAAATAGCGTACTTGTACATTTTTTAGAAGTTTGCATAAAAAACGCTTACCCGAGGCATAATTACAAAGAGAGGAACAAAAACAGCTATTAAACACTTGGCGTCTAACTTTCAGTTACAAAAAAGCTGCATTTGCGGTAAAAAGCGAGGAAGACTATGTTCTCATGGCTACTGGTTTATTTCGTTCTTAGACGAAAATTTCCAGGAAAAAAAATTTAGAATTTCCAAGAACATTCTGATTCAAATTTTAACCTTCCTTTCAGAGGACTTTTGTGTGAAACTAAGGGAGCAGGTTTTCATGTCAGCGAATGGAAGATTTTGATCAGAAATAAAACGATGAGTTGCAAAAATTGTTACAAAGAAAATTCAAATATTTCATGATTATTTACCGAAGTTTAACACAAAAAACTCCATTTGAAGCCAGTTTATTCTGAATGCCGGGAACTAATGGGCTAACGAGAGGGAAACTGTTTACAATTATATTCTCCTGCGGGTGCTTTACAGAGGTAGCCACCTACTTCAAATTTCATTGAAAGCAATGTTCAAGTACTGAAAGTTTCATTCCCCCGAGTAACAAGCAGAGAAGAAAAGGATCATGTGCACAAAGTGGCCGGTCTCTGTGACCGAGGAAAAACAGACTTTTTCTGTAGACACCTTATTAAAATTTCTTTTTGAAGGCTTTACAGATTTGTCAGCCATATAGACATAGACCCGTCTATTGAAAATAATATGTTTGGAACAATAGCAATAGTAGTAATAATAATAATAATAATAATAATAATAGTAATAGTAATGATGATGATAATAATAATACTGATAATGATAATAATGACCCTATATTCACCTGTCATAAAGTGAGATCGCCAAGGGAAAATCGCTCTACTAATAGGGGACACCTGGAAAACTATTACTTGGGCCTGAAGTAACACGCAGCGATCTTTCATTATATGAAAAGAATAAGCACACTTGTAGTTGATGTTCTTGTTTCTTTTTGTGTTAACGGATCAATAAGATGTTGATTATTGTGCAAGTGAAAATCATTACAACTGCTGTAATGATATCTCTCCCGCGCAAGAGTGCCTTTTGGCTAGCGAGTGTCTTACATGATCTATCATTATTGGATATTCACGTGAATAACAGTATGGGTGATAAATTGTTACACAGATTGGGCCATAAGGAACAACGCAAGTAAACAGCACCATTTCGATACAAAAATCTCACCTTCTGCTCATCGCAACCTCTGTGGTGGAAAAACGAGACAAAGAATCATAAAAAGCAAAGGAAAACAAAACAAATAATGGATGAACAATTGACATCAAACAAAATTATCTCGCACAAGCAAAGTAAAGTCGGTTTGATGCCCATCAAGTTGAGTCATAAAGTACAATTTCAAGCGCGATCTTTTGACTTTTATTAGCTATCAGCATATTATATAACATTAATTATTAGTTAACAATACACTATTCAAAAGTTATCTGCTAAAAACAAAGATGCTTGAATAAAGATCATCATGCAGAGGAAAGTGAACTGAAGCTAGTACCTAGTCTTAGAAAAAGGAAAAATATTACTGGGATTCTAAAACTATTGTTCATTTGAGAGCATGACATTTATGCAACACTTACCTTCAGTGCCTTTTGTGTTGCGCCTCTTTTTCCTACAAGTCCACCAAACTAATATTCCAGCAACAGCCAGTGCAGCAACTGATCCAAACACAGCACCAACAATAATACCTATGGTACCTACAAAGCGTGATAAACTTGAGATAAATTTTTGTACGTGAAAGCGTATCTTCTCAAGCCAAACAATTTGGTCGAACTTCAATTGTATTAAGTTTTATTTTTCACAAAGGAACCCTTTTTTCACTGAGATTGTAATTAAAGGCTGCGGTGGATATTTAGTTGCAAACGAAAATATAAACCTCACAGGCGATAATTAACCATTCCATGCAACAGCGTAACAACTTTAATTTAGCTTGTAAATAGCAGATGCACTTTTCACTTCATCTAAATCTTAAGACATTAAATGTTTTTAACATAACGGGTCTGCCTCCGCACCACTGTTTTGGTTAGGAAACCTTTGGAATTCATTCAGAACTTAATTTATCTTCTTCTCACTGTTCATTAAAGATATGGAACTGAACAGGCCATACTGCGCATGTTCAGAAAAAGTGGGGGGGGGGGGGAACACAAATTCTGTTTATGCAAGAGCTTACAAAAAAAGCAGAAGGAAAATTCATATCAAAAATTATCCAACCCTTTTAAGCTTAATATTCGGCTAAAATAACAGAGCCACCTGCTCCTCAATCCACAAACTTACACATAAAATCGTTCATGATCAAATCTAAACTCTTTCGCGGCAAGGGCTGGTGGCATAGACAAAATGAAACAGAAATAAAAAGGAAAAGCACTAAATCTTTAAGTGTCTATTAATAATATATAAAACTCAATAACATTAAAGTTTTTTAATTGTTCCCTGAACCAGAAAGATGCAACAGTATTGAGGTATACAACACAAGCAAAATTGTGTCCTTCTACTTACAAATTAAAGCTCGATTCAGTTAGACAGTAAATCATTTTGTATATTTTCAGAAAACTTAATGGCATAGGTGTCAAGACAGTACTTAACCGGATTAAATGACTTGTTACTTTATGTTTACAAAGTCATTTGTCTTTGAATAGTAGTTTACCTTCTCTCGTCCCACATGGCAGCCCTAAGGATTTCACAAAAAATACGCTCGATTAATATGAGGAAAACTTGCATGGCTGCTATTTTTTTAAGGATTATGAGAACCACTCAATGTAAATTAAACATTGGTTACATGTTTTCATTAAAAAAATCAATAGCTAACTCAGCGAAATGCAAAACAAAAGCATGCGCACAATTAAATGAAGCATTACTGTCCAAGTACACTGGCACGACGCATATTCACTCTCGTAGTACACTGTCCAATTACGAGCATGGCGCGTATACTAGAATTTGTTTCTAGTTTTGGTTACAACTGTTATTGTCATTGTAGTTGTTGTTGGCATTGTTATCTTATCATTATACACCAAGTTTTCAGATCTCTGTAAAAACCTGCTACAGTATCAATTCCTTCCAACCAAGTACAGGGCAAGGCCATTCATTAATCAACTTGCAAAACGTTTACATTGAGTGTTAGGAGGACTTACCCCCAGAGGACCCATCAGGTGATGATGTAGCACCTCCACTTGTTGGTTTCACATCAGGCCTTGTCCCTTTTATAGAACCCACACTAAACTCTCCCAGCTTTCCATCTTTAACAGCGTCATTAAGTGTAATGAGAACATCTCGTTCCTTTGTAGTGGAGTTGAATTTCAGTCCAAGGTCAACAATTATACTTCCACACCTTGGAACAGAAAACAAGTGACGGTTAGGGAGACAAGAAGTATAAAACGGACAACAAAAAAAGTAAAAAACAATTAATAAATAAAATTTGGGAACAGGAGCAACTAATTTACATACCTAACACTCATTGACTGCACTCTTTTGTAATCAAGTTTACCAGCAAATGCTCTTTTAAGCTGTAAGTAAAAATTTCAACTATTTGTCTAAAAATTTTAGTGTACATGTATCACACTTGTATTGTGCATGTACATAAGTAAAAATGAGGATGACATTGAAGATTATTTACTAACTATGATTTAATTGAATATGACCGTTTTTCTAAGAATCAGCCAAGAATGCTAGTCAATCTGTTTCTTTAAAAGTGCTACTTCAATTAAAAAGTTCTTCTTCCAGTCACATGCTTCATATTTTATTTGTTGCAAAAAAGCACCCAGCCAATTATTGCCCTAAATACAAAGCATGAACAAACACTAAATAATAAGATTGTTAAAAGCCTTTTAAGCTCAAGGTTTGACAGAACTCTAAGACACCGAATGCAATCTAGAGACATAAGAAACACTGTGGAATTAAAAAAATTATTCACACATTCTCTAGAAGCTAAATTTCCTTTCAATCAATATACAGTGAGCACATCAGTCTCTGACCCTGAACAAACTAATAATAAATAAATACATGAATATGAAAGAAATCTTCACAGTAATGAATGCTTCTTAAGCAGTAGTGAAAATAAGGCCTGAAAACAATTTAGGCTTGTACAGGATTTGAACCCATAACCTCTACGATACCAGAGCAATTAATGGTTTACCAACTGAGCTGACAAGCCAACTGGGAGCTGGTCATTATGTTGGTTCCAAATAAACCCGTGAAGTGATGAATAATCTGCACCAGTATCCCAGAGGTCATGGGTTCAAATCCCCTACAGGCCTGAATTTATTTCAGGCCTTATTTTCACTACTGTTCCAGGAGTGTTCATTACCGCAAAGATTGTTTTTATGTTCATATCTTTATCTGCAGTTCACATACATGACTTTCATATATTCAGTAACCGTAATTTCCGGCCGTTTACCCGCGGGTAATCTGTTGATTTTGCATTAAACGCGCGCCACTGCGGGTAATAGGGAGGCGCGGGTTATGTGACAATTTTAATATCTACTGGTGGTTGAATTGGAAAAAATTCTCACCTGCATGCGTTTTATTGTATTAAGAGTGCCACAAAGCGGCACGAAAACATGATGCCGACTCGAGTTTATTTCACACATACAGTAATTAGTTGCGTGACGAACAAATTGTTATGGGCACGCGTGAAAACAAAACCTTGACAAAAATAATCCAAAGATAGCCGGCACATCAGTAACAAATTTTCATTTAACACTCGCTTGAGCTAAAGAGAATTTTCCCATTTTAAGGGACTCGTTAGGCCCAATAGAACCGGAGATATCGATTTTTTTCAGAAATCGCCGACAGTACTTTTCAATTCAAGTTTTAAGAGGCAGTCTCTCATATTTCCACCCGGTCAATTATTATATCAAACTCCACATAAAGGCTTTTATTCTTTTCATCCAAAATTTTTCCTCCCCAAATATTACATTGGGATACAAAACAAAACCATACGGCACAACGTACGGCACAAGCTATCAGCGGTCTTCTCTTTTGTGCGGACCTTTGTGAGAACAGTATAACATCGAACTGGATCTAATTTTAAGCGATTATTTCTTCACTTCAGAGGCCTAAAACCTTCATTTCTCCCTCAACTTCCAGACATGGAGAGATTATATTCTAATTTTGGAAAAAATTCAGCTCTGCAGCGATGTTAAATGGGTGATTCACCGCGAATGTGGCCAATTCCGACATTTGTTTTGATACCACGAATCACGATGGATGCCGCCTACTTTTCGAAGGCAATACCTAGCTATTTGTTAAAGTTATCATGGATTTCACCAATTTGGTTATTTGAAAAATTCTAAAGTGAGCCATGAAGCCGGGCTGCAAAGCGGGTAAGCTGTATTTATGACGAAATCTGCTCCAGTGGTTCGATTTTGGTGTAGGCGAAAAAATCGCGAATGCTCGTACATGTGCTGATTCAAACGTTCATAACTTTTGAAAAATCGAAAACGTACAGGGGTTTTTGCATATTTTTGCCTATAAAGGTCTAAACTTAACGGCTGTGTAGGATAGAATCGTCAACCAGGTCCCAAATCCCAAAACTTAACGTCTAAATCAAGGTTTTTTACGGCCATCGGCCGATGGCGATTTCTAGTGGTCAGAATACGCTAAAATTCGCCTTTTCAAATATATTGAGAGGGCAAATTCTAACTTTCTTGGCAAACTAGAAAAGTTTTTAAGCAATCTGATATAAATTTTGTGGCTTAACTATGCGAATCAAATATTTTACAATGTTACAAAATATGCCTATTTTTCAATTTTCGAGACGTTGCGACGGTCCCTACGGACTGGGAAATAATTATGGCCCCTAATGCAGTCAGAAAATTATTTCGAATCAAACCAAATCTAATTTAGTTCTTTCCTAGGTAAAGTCTTTCTGTTGACAGAGTTTCAGGCAAAATTATTTTTGACGCAAAATTGACCGGGTGGAAATAAGAGAGACAGCCTCTTGACACTCACCCAGCTTTACATCAACAAATCAACGTGGCGCCGAACGATCGCTCGCACAACCGTATAATTTTATCAATAAAGTACATGCTAATATTGACACACAATTGTGCACGCGTCTGAATTTCTTTGATCTTTAAACTCGACAAAGAAGCTTTCAAGTTTTGGAAAGTTAGATCAGACAACTTTTAAAAGACTGAAATGTATCACCTTAATGTCACGTTTTCGCCACCAAAAAGTTGAATAGCATAACGTGCGGGTTATCCACCAGTGCGGGTAATCTGTTGACTCTTTTTCTCGCCGTATGCAATAATCGGCCGGTGCGGGTAATCGGCCGTGCGGGTAAACGGCCGCAGATTACGGTATTTAATGAATAAATAGATATTAAATAATACACTGAGCATAGGCAATATTTTATTAATTATAGTTACCTCTTCTTCCAATTTCCTCAGTAATGATGATTTGTTGTATTTTTCATCTGTACAGTTTTCACTTGTGATGGCAATGGTTACATTAATCACATTTCCTGCAATGTCTGTGAAGTGGGATAATGGCTCTAAAATCTATCTTTTTCTACACATATACAATCCCATTATTTCATAAGAACCAAGAATGCCAATAATTCACAATTACCAAAATGCTGAAAAATCTTGCACAATGCAAATAGATTTTCTCAAAATGCCTATTGATACAGGTATTCCTTTAGATAAGTCCCTGGTTCAACTTTTAGAACCCAATCGAAATGTCATGTTGGTATTAGTATGAAGCTACAGCTGTATAAGCAGAACTACAATGCAACTTACAAACAATGGCAGTTTTTGTATCATGTCCATGTAAATTGGCCACTCTGCAGGTATAGCTGGCATCGTTAAGCACTTGTGAAATATCAAGACTATTGTTGTTACAAAGTTGTTCTGGGTCATTACATGGAATCCAAGTGTAACTAGGTGGAGGGTTTCCTTCTGCTCGACAGTTCAGAGTTAAACTTTGTTGTACATCAACAATATACTCAGTTTGAAATTTAACAATCTTGACTGGATCTGTACATCAAATTGGAAAATAAAAAATCAGATTAATAAACAGCATCTACATCTACACAAAGATATATCTGAGTGACTTGTCTTCAATAGCTAAGGGGTCCAAAGACACCAGCACACTTACATACAAGAGGCTATTCTTTATCTAGTTTGTTGTATTTTGGTTGAATTCAATAACATGGGTTTGCAAAATGTTCTCCTACTTTGTGTATTGTGGTTTCAATGAAATTGCTATTGTCTGGATGTTACCTAGGTGATCCTCTTGCCATTCATAAATGTATGTTAAATAAATAACTGGTACCAAAAGTTTCATGGGTTCCGATCATTAGACAGAAAACTTTTTAATGTTGACACTCAGAAAACCATTGAGGTGGTATTTCAAATCTTTGAGCTGAGATCTTGTCAGATATGTTGAACCAGATTGTTTAACATTTTCTAATTAGAATTAATGAGACTGTGGAGCACTAGAGTCTCCTAGCACAACATCTAATCTTAATCTTAAGAGGAGTAAATTAACATTGACAGAGGTGGGTGAACACCTGCCGGAACAGTCGGCAGCGCTCCAAGCTGTAATCATTTTTAATCCACACAGAGGTAAAGAAGGGATTTAAGTTACCAATTAAGTTGGCAAAGGAAAGTGTTGTTGTTGGGGGTGCATTTAATAAAAATACAATTTTATGAAAAATTAAGCCTGGAGCCCTTCATGGATGTACTTAGCTAAACATTAATAATGGTAATAGGACTGGGTGGAGTCTAATTCAGTCTGTAATCATACTGGTGATTAACAAAATCTGGTTATCACAAGTATGATTACAGACAGAATTGGAGGACACATTTAAGCCCTGTTACCAATTAATCAAAACTATGACAAAATTTGAGAAAGAAATGAGACAGACAAAATGTGAAACAACAGCCTGCACTCATGACCCATTGTCCAATTATGCAGGCATGACACGTTATCTGTCCCTTAACTATCCTATTACACTATCCAATTACAAGCATGACGCGCACACTGTCCTATTTGTGCTCGAGTCGGGCTAGTGATATCCAATCATGTTCAAGAATTTTGCTATAGTTTTGATTAATACAAGTAATTGACAGCAAAGTACATTAAAACACAGATGATATATGGAAAGCACATCTCTGTTTAACATTAGTTAAAGTTGTCTTCAATGCATACTCACAAATAACATTTACATATATGGTTTGGCTCTCTGGTTTACCAAAGCCATTGTATGCTGTACAGGTATAATTTCCTGCATCAATCCTGTTGATGTTTGTTATAGTCAGCACCTTCCCTTCTTGCACCACATGAGTATTTCCTTGGTTCCCAGGCTTCTCTTTGGTCCAGGTGATGTTTGGTCCTACTTGACTCGATGCTTCACAGATTAACTGCAAATTTTCCCCTTCAAGAATGGTTGGTTCACCTCTTATTCCACTGATATTTATTGGATCTAAGAAAAATCAAACAATCACTAGTAAACTTCAAGGATAATTGAATGGCATGTAGACATATGAGCAATGTGGAAAACATTGCTGACATGATTTTTAAATGTTCTTTGCAAACCTTGCACCTGCAAATGAAATTCAAATGTGTTATGATTGTTCAAATTAAACAAGAACAGTCCCTGAATTATAATCCATTATAAGTGCTTTAATATATCTGCCTTTAAATGTTTCATGGACCACTAAAAGGCAACTAAATTTTTCTGAATTATTTTCTCAGCTTAAACTAAGCATTATTATTTTAACTACAGTTTCCAACAAGTAATTCTGTAGAAATTAATTTTGAGACTCAGACTCACAGGAGCTATTTACAAAAACATCTTTTTTTAAAAATAATTTTTTTAGCCCACCAATACATGTGAATAGCCAATTATAGTGTGTCACTATAACTGACTCCCACAATGTTTTGGCAGCAAAACATAATGGTCCTTGATTTCAATCCTGGAAACATCTCCTGGTTAGTTTCAGTAACATGTAGTGATCTTTGCTATACCTCTGCATATAAAAGTAGGCTGTGAATGGGTAGAGATTACATGGAGAATAGTCCTTGACTGTGAGCCAAGGGGTTGGGTGTAAGAGCAAGAAATTAAAGAAATCCCATGAGGAATGGCAAAAAAATATTGCTGAAATGGAGGAATTAGGCTTGTGGTTTACACAATCCTCCCTGATTGTAACCAGCAACCATAAAGAGGTGCTGCTGCAGCCAGTTCAAACCACTATAAACTTGAAAACAAAATTGCTGTCTAATGGAATTGAACCATGGTTTGTCATGTGAAACTGCTTGGTAGGTTCCTGCACATTATGGTTTAGTATAAGAAACTATCTAGTAGAGAGTCTCCTGGGACTCCCTAGGATAATTTAATTTGTGTATCTATTGGCATACTTAACTATACTTTGACATCACTATAGTCACCCAAAAGTGTTAATATTGTATCTGTGAAAATCTCTGGAACAAAAAAAAATATGTACACTGTACAATAAATGCCAAAAGTAGGTGGATGACAACCCTCCAATCAACATAATAAACAGAAATCTTGTGATTCATCTCTATTAAGTTACTTGCAAGTTACACCTTCCCCAAAAAAACCTATTGCCTGAAATTGGTCACCATTTTGTAACACCAGGCAACATTCAAATAGGGAGAGTTACATGAAAAATTAAAAAATTAGTAAAGCATGGTCAGACTTTTGCCACTCATTACACAATGAAGTTTTTATGCAAGTATGTCTTCTTTAAACATATCATTGGCTACATAGAAAACTTAACAGCCTTGAAATTAGACCTGAAGACTCTCACAGTACTTAACAAAAAACCATGTGAGGGATTTCTGATTTTCATAATTTATCTACCACAATGGCCTCAGATGTAACACATATCAGTAAAATTTTGATGAGCAAACTTGATAGAAAACCAGAAAGCAAATGACAGTAATATTCAAAATTCCCTACACAGATTTGAAAATATACCCCTCCTGTTTGAAATTGTTGAAATTTTGTTACAGCTGTAGGATTTTATACCTGATTTATTTGCTTGAGGAGACATCCTCTTAAGTTAGTAACTAGCTTTCCAAAGATAATTATACTCTGTGCTTGCTAAGTGGGTAAATTAAGATCTTTCTGATAAACTTTAAATATACTGAGTATAAAAAGACTTTTGTCTTCAATTACACATGCAAGTTTCCCAGTGTATAATAATCAACACCTCTTTGGATTTGAATTTACCTTGAACCCTTTAAAAATTTTTAATGCCTTGATTTCTCTTTAGGCTGACTATTTTTTCACAATTTTATCCATGTGAGGTTTATCAAATCAAATCACTCAAACGTCCACCGTTTGGTTGGTCACTTAAAACACCATCAGTCCAATAAGCTAAATAAATTTGTTAAAAGTGATTTAGATGTTTTTTTCTACTAAGAATTGAAATCTTTCAAGTTCTACCTGCATTTAAACTAGGCCCAGAGGGAAGAACTGGTTAACAGTATACTTCAGCTAGGATTACGCCTTTCTTATAGTCAGCAACACTTTCAAGCTTACCTATGACTTGCACTTGAATTGCTCGTTTCCAAAGATTAGCGTTGGAGTCAACCAACTCACACCTAAATTCTCCAAAAAACTTATCATCAGAAACATTCACAGCGGAGATAATCAAAGAAGCTCTTCCAAGAGTTGAGGCTGCGCTGAACCGTTCCTGAAATTGATCATTAATAGGAGTAGCTGAACCATCTGCTCTAAAGCTGAATATAGAATCAGTCTTGAATCGTACGACACCACCCAGACCTAAACCTGCCGACAGACTGTAGCTCCAGTTCAGTGTGACAGAAGATCCTTCATAAACCTGTACAATGCCAGGGGGGAGCACTTCGTTTGGATCTGATGTTGTCTTACTCGGAGTAGGTTCAAACCATGTCACACTTCGGCCATCTGAAGGAGAATATTTCAGATCGCAGTAATATTACCACAATTCATGCTTACTATTTAATCACACGAGGAACAGCATTCCAAGGACTGAATTAAAAATTCGTATGAAGTTTAGAAGGCACCTCAATGTGCTGCTGTCACACCGAAAGTATTAGAACAAAATTCTACATAAATACATTACCTGTTGGTTTGGGTATAAGAAAAACCCACATACAGATATATTTCAAAGGAAAACTCATTTTAGAAAAGTCCTTATTTCCCAAAGATGAGTACTTTACTGAACTAGATGAAGAAATGTCATTGCCATAGTTCAAAGCGAACGACGGAACACTTTCGTTTCGATATAAACTTGAACTAACGTGAGAAGTGATTGGCTATTGAATGATGATGGCGTTTTAGACGGAGGTTCTGATCGATTTAGGGGTATTTGAGCAACGTCTGAAATGGAAGACCTAACAATCCAAAATTACCTCAAATGTATATTAGAATTGTTAAAACTAGAAACACTCCATAATGACTAGCTATTTCACAAACAGCCACGGATCTTTTGAAGTCTTTCAATTTAGATGTACTAATGCATCTATCATCGGCCATCCCCTGGGGGGGGGACCCCGGGCAAATTCAACGTTGAATGGGGACTTATACGGGGATTTGAACGATTAACTTACCCTGGAGGCGGGGGAAATGAGGGAGGTTTGTTTTCCAAAAGCCTTGCACCGCGGGGAAAACAGGGGACTTTGCAAACGAAACAGGTCAATTTCAAGTTGTCTTAAATGAATAAACATGAAGACCGCTGTGCAGAAGAACGTAGATCAGAAATGCTCATCAACATTGTTGTAAATATTCGGTTTAAGTCCAAAAAGTCAGCTGAACAGACATCGTGTATTACACTGTATTTTGGTTAACATTTTTTTGTGTAATTGTATTTAGCAGTACATTGAAATTTGCATTGTTACGAACATGTAAGCACTATTAAAACATGACATTTCGTTAAGGGTATAAAGTACTGTTTTCTTGTCAGGTTTCAAGCTGCTAAAGGTGATTCTCCTCAGGGAGGGGAACTTTGATTCCTCTGTGTCCCCACCTAGGAGGGGGAAAATAAGAACTTTGACAGGGTCCTTCACAAAGTCCCCACCCTTGCCCGGGGTCCCCCCCCCAGCGGATGGCCGATGATAGGTGCATAAACGAGTTTGTGAAAATAAAGAAAATATGTATGGAAAATTTTTTTTTAATATTGTGAAGAATTGGCATTGAGTGACGAACCCTTCCTTGTAGCCCATTAGCGCATAAATATTTCGAATATTTCCCGCTCCTTTCGACTTCTCTCGCTCCTTCCGAAATGTAGAATTATTTATAGCCCGTACGACCGCACAAGGTGCTACTTTTAGCATGCGCGGCCAGCCGTTCCACGGGCACTATCTTAGCCATTACGTAATGGGCAAGGAGGAAGATAATGCGCAGGCGCGATTGCGCGCGTAACTTGGATACCCCATAGGTGTGCGCCAGGAAACACCGGCAGATGACAATGAAGTGCGCATACTCGAGTGTCGAACTTCATTGAAGCGTGCCGCGGGCACACGGCTAGGCATTGCAAGAGGGCTTCATGTGGGCTAGTGGATGTGAAGCCGTGTAAGCAACTAATTTGCAACCCGCGTTTTGAGCGCGAAATCAAACTGGTAAGGTTGAAGTTGAACGGTAATTCTCAGTATTTCGCAATTTCTAATCAACTCGCAAAGCAACAATACCGGCAGAACTAAAGCATTGTCAACGGGAGGAAATTGTCATGATTCAAGTTTGTGGAGAGGGTTTTAAGTGAAAATAGGATGAAAAGTAAGAGACTGTGCGTCCGAAAAAAACAAGAAGTAAAAGACGTAAAGCGAGTCGAGAAAAACGCGCAAGAAAGTTAGAGAGGACACCAAAATAGGCAGAATACTGTGAAAGATACACAAAAGAGAACAAGAAAATACATTAGTAAAAAAGCAAATATCTAGCGAAGGGTAAGGAAGGATATAATATATAGATTTAGCCAAGCATAAAAGCGGAGCCCGCATTTTTTTTCCCGTACAGTTGACCACGCATATTGAAAGTAATACTTTGTACGGTCTTACGGTCATACGGTCGTAAGAAGTTATCTTGCGGATTTTGTTTTGTCTAGAAAGCTTTCAAATGATAGCGAACGGCGAGTGCAAGTTTCTACCTCTTTCTCTCTTCAGTCAATTATCGCAGGATTTACTCTGTTCATTTTAAAAAGTCGCGCCTTATCGAAGACGTATTGAAGTAGCCTAAGAACGAAGTGGTAGCCCTTCCAAAAATTGAAATAAAATGAGATTAAGTCAGTGATGTCCGTGTTTACATTAAGTCTGACGCGGTAATTTGATTTTGACAATATTGTCATGTGAGAACCCGTCAAACATCTGAGAATTAAACTACGGACCGCAAATATGTGGTGCAAACAAACTCACGGGAAAATTGGAATAAGTCCTACTGCTGAATGAGTGAACTTCATTGTTTAGTCATGGTACTTTTCAGCGCTATGTTTTCATGCTTTCTACTCGATTCGTACGAACTTCAGGAAATAATTTCAATCGTCTCACAAAACATGGAGCCACTCTCCCTTATCTCAACATCTCTAGGCGTACTTACTGCTCGGGTTATGATGAACATGCTTGCGATACAGTATTTTTTCCTAACGCTGGAAACTGAAGAATCAATCTCTGAAATCGATAGTCATCACATTTTACAAGACGTGTCTGAGCTGTGATCGTGTAATTAAACAGGGTCTTGGCAATTTGAGCTCACAAGCACGCTGGTAATCACATAGTTAGTGTAAATAATTGTTGTTTCCATTTTTTTAATTCGAGAGTCGTTTTTGAGAGTCCGTTGGATATTTTCTGTTGAATTCAATGAGGTGCAATCTTGGAATTCCATAAGTGATTATGAACGATAAATTCGTACTGGCACCATAATTTAGGGAGGTTTTGTCGATACATTATCAGTTTACAATTCGTGAACCATTTCTGTAACCTACTTGAAAATTTTTTTTTAATTAATTGGGTCACACTCTCGGAATTTCATCAGTAATTAGGAGGACATACGTGCAAAAATCAAACAAAAATGAAATTTTTATGGCAAGGGTCAAAAATTCAAATTGTCTAAAGTTTTGCACACATGTAGACCCTAGTAAGACAAGAAAGGCTGTGTATTTTTTTTCCCTCAAATATGTTTTTATTTTCGAGAAAAATGAACTTTTCGCTTTCACCCTCTAGAATCGATGGATCGGGTCATAACAGGTCGAAAATTGAACACTTTCGCTCGCTTCGCTTTTCAAAGATATTACATCGAGGGAAATCTAACCAACGTGAGCTCTTTCATAGACTCTTCGTCTTATGTAAAATGTAAGTTGTGTAGGAATTGGTTGTTTAGAAGCTTTTAGACATGCCAAAAAACAATGTGCTCTCTTTCGTTACAAAAAATGTCGGTGAAGAAAACCTCTTTTTTCACCATGTGCCATTATTCAGAATTCCACAAAATTACATATGTAAATTGCCGAAGGAATGATCTTCAAAATGACATAAAGTTTTCTTTGGGCAAGCAAATGTTTTCTCGCGACGCAGGAAACTCTTCAAAGTAGCACGCGGAAGACATAAAATCACGCCAAGTTTGTTTATGCAGAGATATGCTGCCATCTGTCTGTCTAGTACGATTATGCACCAGTGCTAACAACGGTATACGATTAAAAAACTTTGCTGTTCTCTCGCATACGAATCTTAAGTTTCTGCCCCTTGTTTGACTTGCTAACCCGTGCCTTTTAACTAGCCTATGTAAAACGAAAATCCACAAAATGTTACCTTACAGAGGCCCTTGCAGGAGTTAAGTGAGGGCCTGCATGACCTAATTTGCATAATTGCGGTACGAGTCGTCGTGCTCGTGTGACAGAATAATTTGGACCTACGAGTGGAGTCGGTCGACGTCATTTGAATAGGCACAAATACGAGGAAAGGAAATAATGTGTCTAGATATCCATTTAGCTCTGAGTTTTCCTAAATTTGTACTCGTGTTATT